TGGAAAAGCGGTAAGTTGGTCCTTGTCTGTATTGTTGATACGGTTTTAATGAAGAAAATCATTCTATAATTTTTTGAAACATTTCTATTGATCTTCTGGTACAAAAACTGTTACATCATTATGATGCATCATTACTGATTGTGTATGCAGGTAAAATTCCAAGGTTGTGCTAACATTTTAACATTTTGTTAAGAAAAGGAACATGCTCCAATGATATCACAGTCTTATATTTTAGATAGAAATTGCGTACCTGTTATCACCAAGACAATTGTTCTGAGAAAGTAACAAATTCATAAATTTCTGTAATGCATGAAATTTAGGTTTTTGCTGCCTTAGTCAGTCAGTTTCAATGACCGCTTCTCCTTTATGGCCACGGAGGCTGACGCGTCAGATGATACTTTTAATGTTCTTGATCCTGTGCCAGCGTTGAAGCTGTGGCACCAAACGGCTGGAGTCTAGAGTAGAGACCTTCCATACACTTGCCCAAGGTTATTTTTTGCCGTCCCCGAGGTGTGCGGCCCGTCGGTTGAGCAAGTAGTAGTTGCTTCGCCTTCTTTTTTTGGAGGCAAAGGCAACACGTGCACAAACCATAACAACTGTGATTTCTTAATGTAGGTTAGGTTTTACCATGCATCAAAATCTTAAAATTTCTGCAGCACTGCCTTATGATGATTATGTAGCATCTTTAGTCCATATGTGTCCTTTGAAATGTATTTCTGCAGCTATTAATGTGCAGCCCTCAACGCTCTTCATCCGAAAATTCATGATCTTCCTATACAACTCGGTATTACATGCAAATAAGGAGTTCATATATAACGTGATATGTGATAATGCGCTGGAAGATGTCTCATCCTTTTACGTTCTTATGTTTAAGGGCAGAACACCAGTGGCTTAGAGATTCCTAATGTGGAGTCAAAACCAGTGATACTTTCGCTGCAACGGCTAATATGGAATTTGAGTACCTCTTCGAGGCAGACCTGCAGCTGCCTAAGAATGTTTCCTTCGCGGAGGCAGTAGAACATATCCAAAATTACGACTCTGCCTGCCGTCCAGCGGAGATCTTTAGATTAAGCATTATGATAATACTGTGGAGCGTAATTGATGATAACCAATAATTTATGTATTATGTATAGTGCCAGTCATACACATAGAAGCCTATATGGCATATGCACAGTTTAAGTAATTCGAATTGACGAATGCGTAATTCGTTTCATATGCTGTTTTGCTGTGTCGTACCACTAAACAGCGGATTTAGCCATCGTAATTTACCCTCACTATATATACACTCTCATGCCTCTGAAAGATAAGCCGTTTGTTTAAAATAGCCATCGAGTTTAAATTTGTGTATATATTTCTTCTTAGAAGGCGAATTTTGTACATATTTTTATTATGCATAGTGCAGTGGTTTATGATTATGCTGGCGAAGATGTGCTCCCGCATAAAATAGTATATTTATATTAGTTAGCCACTATACTGTTGTATATAATACATTTATTGTTCATTATACATGTATGAACTAGAGTAATTTGTCACTACTACATATTCACTACATATACATCTGCGTCTACATTTTACTATGTGCATGTCATAGATGCAGGTTTATATGAAGCGCCTTATTTGTATTCGTCATTGATCTCATTTAAAATGAAGCACCATTTTACCATATACCACAAATATTTCTTACATTGTAATCAATTGTGTTAAATAATATCCTAGATCTGTGGAAGTGTAATCTGCTGCAAGCTTGTTGTGTGTCTTGCATAAAGTATATAGTAAATATTGTAAATGTGCCATACGCAATATACTACATACACTATGATTCATTTGTAGTGAATTATTTGTACTGTGTGTGACGTGTAACGCATTTTAGCTGTAAATCTGGATCTGTTATTTG